AACCCTGGGCCAATACCCGCGAGCTCTTCTGCAAACAAAATCTGGGGAATGAAGCTCTCGAGTGTTGGCTAAATCTAATTACACTATGTGGTTTTGATCGTTTTTCAAAGCCGACGAATTGCTTTCAATCCCTTATGCATATACGGAATCCTCCCAGGGTCTGCTCGCAGGAATTTTATTTGTGAAAATGACCCCGTCCGACGTACACGAAAATACCGTCGGCAATATTTTGCAGTCGTATTACTTTGCACAACCCTATGAATTCCAGGGCAAACGGAATAATTAGTCAGGACTTCCGGGCGAAACTGGAGACGATTTTATGCAGAATGAATGTATTTAGAGCAGTCTTTCAGCACAATCACAGGAAGAATAAGGTCAAGTAAACTCTGTCCAGACCGAGGCTCGAAGAAATAAATATTTCTACGCTGAATATTAAACGATGGATGAGACGAGTCAAATGTTGTGACAGTCTGCTGAACCCATCGAAGCATTATTCTACTGAGAATAAGTCTTCAGACGGCATTATTGCAGAAAACTAAGAAAGAATGAGTACTTCTGCATTGTTTCTCTCCAGCGTGCTATTTTAAACACACAGAGATGAGGAGAGCCGCAAGAATAAATTCCTCTCAAGTTTACTAGAAAAATTCGAACTTCTTCAACTTCTTCCTCAGGATTACTTTTTATGGCTCTTGGAAAACTTTGATATATAGCTTAGAACAGGTTTTGATTCTTCCAGTTGTATGTACAGTAAAATCTCCTGTTATCCAGGAAATGTTTGAGTTTGTTTCAAAGATCTCTTTTGTAAATTACACCTAGCTCCAAGGAAGTGTACAAGGTTTTTTCATGCAGCTGTTTCATTGTTTTGAATTTCCTCTTCTCACATCACCCCATGTTAACAGGATGACGCACTTTTTGTTCTCTTTAAAGAATATAAAACTCCCCCTCACTTCTGGTAGTGAGGAATGCCCCTTGCGCAGTTGCACCTCTGAAATCTGCATTTCAGAGGTAAATATCTTATAAGACTGTTTAGAATATATATCATGTTGTGTATTGTACATTTGATATTTGCTTCATGAGGTCCTTGCACTTATGAATAATATACAAAATACTTCAACAACCTATATACCTGAGAAGGTATAAATATTACCAAGGAACCATATATTCCTCAGATTTAATCCTGTGTTGACCATGGTTTCTTCTCAGAGAATCTTGTGAACATTTAGCAAGATTCTCTTACAACTTGTCTATTTTCATTTGTTGACTGACTAATGTTTGATCGTGAATAAAAGCATATTTTTTGTATTGAGATTGTTTTATTAGTACAGACAACACTCCCTACAATGAACCTGCTAGTGACCGGTATATATGAATTTTTTGTTTTTTGCACTGAGGTTTACAATAGCAGACACCTCACCAGTGCTTCGTTCGACGGCATGATAAATGACTCCTTGGGTCCCGCGGCCTATTTCGTCACCTAAATCATACAGATCCGTGATGTGCCTGGGTTTGATGGGTACTTTTCCCGGGTGCAAGTAGTTCCTCCAGTGGTACACCTTCTCCTCATCGACCACGTGCAACATGCAGGACGTGGATGCGGGTCCAGCCACGTTGATGGCCGACGTCGACATGTCCCGGAGCAGAAAGGACTAGTCCAGGACCTAATAGTCACACGTGGACAGACCGACCCAGGTGTCTTAGACGGCTAGTAAGGCTTCTTTTGTACTGGTGGTCCCACAAAAAAAATAACATTTATTATTATTATTCCGGCGTCGGGATTTGCATTTTATTCCTCGCGTGTTTGCTGCTGGGAGTGACACAGCATCCATCCGCAGCACACGCTCCACCATATGCGAGAATAAAGTTTGAATTTATTTTTTTATTTGTACGAAAAAGCATGAAGGATATGGAGTAATCCCGTGTTTCACGAACAAAAATGAGGTAGGGTCTTGAATCACTTTTTTATTCCGGAAAATGGGGTCCATTGAATCAAAGAAGGTTTTTTTTTAAATATTATTTTAATGTAAATTCCGGATGGACAGAAGCTTTGATCTGAATATGAACTTTGTAGTCACAAAATCGGAATAATTCAGAGCTTATCATGGAGTCGAACATTTTTAGATTTGAAATTCAGCTTCTTATAGTACAAGGGCATACTTTTACTTTTTTGGCACTTCGACACGAATTTTATTTTGTCTGAATAAGGCATATATGACTCATTCACACTGAAATTAATGTGTTTACGTATCGTTTTGGTCATATTTTTGATGAAACCGGTTCAGTATAGAAATTTCATAGCAATGGATGAAAAGCTGATCGAAATTTTTAATTAAATAATGAATTTAATTTCCTTTTTTTAAGCAATAAGGAATTTTTGTTACAGTGTTTCAAGTCCCTTCTCAATCAGTTTTCTTTGTTTTTATTTTCTAATGCGTCAAGACATGACTTGTAAAATAATGTTGCTTGAATGCAGACGTGACTAAGAGACATTTCTGGCAAAAACGTCATCCATCACGAAAGAATATTGTTCAGCCTTTTTTTTAGCGTCAATTTCTTTTCTCCATTAGGATAGAAACCCGAGCTACAATATGATACAATTTGCCGCACAATAATGCTGTTCGCTGTAATAAATCACTTCAAACTTTTGAATTACAACCAGGCTGTGAAAGTCATACTTCAATAAAAAGTAACGAAAAGTTCACGAATTTTTAATTTTTTATTGTACGCAAAATTTCAACAGAAGCTTAGTTTGAGAAGGGTTTTGAGGTTTTCTTGATATAATTTTTGAACTAGTTTTGTCCGTTAATTCAAAATAACGCTTGCATCAAAAATTATCCCTGAATAAAATAAAAAACACCCTGTAAAAATAAAATATACAAATGTTGATAAAAATTAAAACCACACTTTCACCCATTAGCATTCGAGCCGTTAACGGGCACAAGTATGTACACCGTTTGTATAGTGTTTTCCACTCACCCAGACGAATGCTGTTGATTTCACTTTGAAAAAAGTTTAGTGAATCCGAGGCATTTCCACCGCAAAGCCTTGCTTGAATAAATTATTTCATTAGAAATGAGGATCGTCGGAGGGATGAGGATTTTTTGGGGACTCAAAAAAAACCAGAATTTTTTTGTATTTCTTTAGATACATGCGATCAAAAGCAACTTGTGATATTTTGAAAACTAAAGGGCCACAAACAGGGTTGGAGTAAAATTATCAGATGACACGGTGCATGAAGGCAAACGTTGTATTTGCCAATCATCCAGAAATCGTGACATCCAGGCTGCAAATGCAAATTGGCAAGACAAAAAACGAAACAGAAAGCAGACCGTATTGCAAGAAACAGAAGAGACACAAGTGCTCGAGAAGATGCTGTGGTTTCAACGTTCTCCGAAATGGCCGGAATCATTTAACAAGATGCATTAAAAAAAATGCAAGCCTTAAATGAAGCGTCTTTCGTCTAACATTTCTTCTTCGCAGTGTCTTTTGAATGATAAAAAGGACTACGGTATTGCTGAGAGGGGCAAGATTGAAGTTTCAGGAGTTTCACATACAAACGACCATCAGGAAGACCCAGGAAGGTTATTTACATATGTAAAATTCGCTCCTTGGTGCTGGGCACAAATAGATCAAAGCACGGATTCGACGAAGACAAAAACGCATACAATCAAGTGTCGCGAATTTTCGGAGGCTTTTCTGCAGAACCAAGCATATCGAATTTAATCACCAGCCTCGAGCTGACGGAAAGTAATTTTTCATGTCACTCGTCTCAATGTTCGAACTTAATCTTCAAAGAGAAGACGCCAAACGGCGCCTTTAGAATTTAAAACTCATAAACAGAGACGAGTTTCGGCAATTTGCCGAAACTCGTCCTTGGATCCTTCCGTGAGAATCGGGTTACTCACCCGTTCTCACAAGAACCGAAAAAACGGACCTTTAGTCCTTGAAATCTAACGTTTAAACTTGAACACCAGTAACTGTACCCCGACGCGGCGGAAGNTATTAGTACAGACAACACTCCCTACAATGAACCTGCTAGTGACCGGTATATATGAATTTTTTGTTTTTTGCACTGAGGTTTACAATAGCAGACACCTCACCAGTGCTTCGTTCGACGGCATGATAAATGACTCCTTGGGTCCCGCGGCCTATTTCGTCACCTAAATCATACAGATCCGTGATGTGCCTGGGTTTGATGGGTACTTTTCCCGGGTGCAAGTAGTTCCTCCAGTGGTACACCTTCTCCTCATCGACCACGTGCAACATGCAGGACGTGGATGCGGGTCCAGCCACGTTGATGGCGCTGCAGCTGTACAGGGCCTCGTCTTTCCTGATCAGGTCCTGGATTATCAGTGTGCACCTGTCTGGCTGGGTCCACAGAATCTGCCGATCATTCCGAAGAAAACATGACCACCAGGGTGTTTTTTTTAAACATTTATTATTATTATTCCGGCGTCGGGATTTGCATTTTATTCCTCGCGTGTTTGCTGCTGGGAGTGACACAGCATCCATCCGCAGCACACGCTCCACGATATGCGAGGATTAAATTTTACTTTATTCTTTTACTTGTACGAAAAAGCATGAAGGATATGGAGTAATCCTGTGTTTCACGAACAAAAATGAGGTAGGGTCTTGAATCACTTTTTTATTCCGGAAAATGGGGTCCATTGAATCAAAGAAGGTTTTTTTTTAAATATTATTTTAATGTAAATTCCGGATGGACAAAAGCTTTGATCTGAATATGAACTTTGAAGTTACAAAATCGGAATAATTCATAGCTTATCATGGAGTCGAACACTTTTAGATTTGAAATTCAGCCTCTTAGTACAAGGACATACTTTTACTTTTTTGGCACTTCGACACGAATTTTATTTTGTCTGAATAAGGCATATATGACTCATTCACACTGAAATTAATGTGTTTACGTATCGTTTTGGTCATATTTTTGATTAAACTGGTTCAGTATAGAAGTGTTTATTCAATTTCATAGCATTGGATGAAAAGCTGATCGAAAGTTTTGATTAAATAATTAATTTAATTTCCTTTTTTTTAAGCAATTGGGAATTTTTGTTACAGTGTTTCAAGTCCCGTTTCAATCAGTTTTCTTTGTTTTGTTTTTTTCTAATGCGTCAAGACATGACTTGTAAAATAATGTTGCTTGAATGCAGACGTGACTAAGAGACATTTCTGGAAAAAAGGTCATCCATCACGAAAGAATATTGTTCAGCCATTTTTTCAATGTCCATTTCTTTTCTCCATTATTAGGATAGAAACCCGAGCTACTGGGTGATATATTTTGCCGCACAATAATGCCGTTTGATTTAATAAATCACTTTAAGCTTTTGAATTACAACCAGACTGTGAAAGTCATGCTTCAATAAAAAGTAACGAAAAGTTCACGAATTGTTAATTTTTTATTGTACGCAAAATTGCAACAGAAGCTCAGTTTGAGAAGGGTTTTGAGGTTTTCATGAAATTACTTTGTCAACTAGTTTTGTCCTTTAATTAAAAACGCTTGTATCGAAAATTATCTCTGAATAAAATAAAAACACCCTGTAAAAATAAAATATACACATGTTGATATAAATTAAAACCACACTTTCATCCATTAGCATTCGAGCCGTTATAACGGGCACAAGTATGTACACCGTTTTTATAGTGTTTTCCACTCACCCAGACGAATGCTGTTGATTTCACTTTGAAAAAAGTTTAGTGAATCCGAGGCATTTCCACCGCAAAGCCTTGCTTGAATAAATTATTTCATTAGAATTGAGGATCGTCGGAGGGATGAGGATTTCTTGGGGACTAAAAAAAAACAGCATTTTTTTGTATTTCTTTAGATACATGCGATCAAAAGCAACTTATTGTATATAAAACTTTTGATTTCCCGGTGTTTGTCCCAACCTCATTTTAATAGTCTACTGTGCCACGTACTTCCGTTTGCAACATAAACGGTTAGTAGGTCTTTAGCACTGTAGGTCCGACGTTTACGTTTATGGCAAGACAAAAAACGAAACAGAAAGCAGACCGTATTGCAAGAAACAGAAGAGACACAAGTGCTCGAGAAGATGCTGTGGTTTCAACGTTCTCCGAAATGGCCGGAATCATTTAACAAGATGCATTAAAAAAAATGCAAGCCTTAAATGAAGCGTCTTTCGTCTAACATTTCTTCTTCGCAGTGTCTTTTAAATAATAAAAAGGACTACAGTATAGCTGAGAGGGGCAAGATTGAAGTTTCAGGAGTTTCACATACAAACGACCATCAGGAAGACCCAGGAAGGTTATTTACATATGTAAAATTCGCTCCTTGGTGCTGGGCACAAATAGATCAAAGCACGGATTCGACGACGACAAAAAACGCATACAATCAAGGACCCATGACAAAAAAAGGTCGAAACCGTTCCATGCTTCTTGTTAAGACCTGAAAAAGTTCTGCTTTTCCCCTAAGAAGGGCCGACCCCACTTTTATCCTAACCATAGTAGACAGAAAGGTCCTGTCTTATGAAAAGTAACCTAACCAAAAAGGAATTTTGAAAGGCATTTGTGGAACCCAAAAAATTGCAGCTCAATTTCGTCAAACTTTTCAATAAATTTCAACAATACAGTATTCCATTTTTCGATCTTCGACTGTCCTTTTAGAAGTGAAAATGCTGAATGTAAATTTTCAAGAAACAAAGGTTGCTTCAGTTCCTTCGTTTCAATAAAATTTAATCAATTTATAACTGCTTAAAAAGTGAAAACCTTCCCGAAATTTTATCGACATCAAATAAGTTCTGACGTTTTGGGGGCTTGATTTTTTCATACGCAGTTTCGAAAATGTCATTCATGGCTCGATTAAATGAACATAAATAGCAAAGCATAGAAAAATGCAGTACAAAAAAAGGAACTGTATTAAATTAAAAGGAACAGTCTTTTATACAGACTGGTGACTTTGCAGCTGTTACTTAGAGCATAATTAAGGTAAAAATTTAAGCTCTTTTTTTAGAATTTTAATAACAAGATGGTTGAAAAAATGTACGAGTAAATGTGAAAAATGTTCGTCCTGGAAAGAAAAACTATACACAATCCAGTGGGGGGGGAGGGGGGAGGAAACTCTAGTTTCAATTTCCGCAGCGCCTAGTAGGGCTCTCTGTAAGTAAGAGTGTGTACGAAGCACGACGTAAGCCAAGCTCTGCTTTTCCTCACTGTATGCTTGTTATTTCTTCTAAGGATTTCTACAAGAAAAGAATCTATGCTTTCGAAAGACCGAATTCTGATGATACTTTCAAAGCATTCGAGCCTCTATATATATTGAAAGCAATGAAACCCATTGCCTATAAGTCTTCCGAAATTTCCGCGCATATGTATGATGGTGCACGATTGACAAAATATATTTCAACCGTGATCTCATCCTAATTTCCCGAGAGGCGGTATTTATATACTTTCGTCTTTATTCGCAAATTTCAAAAGGGTTCAACATGGGAAAAGTATCGTCCCTCAGGAAGTAAAAGTAGATTTTATTCGTGTGGACCAGAACAGGATAGAAAAAAATTATTTAAAAAACCGCTCCTCCAAATCTTTTTTTCAACACTCCGAAAGTTGAGTTCATCGCAGAAATAATTTCATTCCTCACTTCCAATTATCCCTCTTTCAATAGTTCATGTTATTTTTTTGAAAAGTACCAAATACAGTATCAAATGTTTCTCAAGTTACAATGAGGGGGAAAAGGATATTCCTGCTTGGATTTTCGAGATGCATTGCTTCTATACCGATAAAACTCTTTTTATATAAATTATGAGGAACCTGGAATAAATTGGAGCTTACGCATGGGAATAATCTGATAATTTCAAGTAGAATCGCAGTCAGCGAACTTAAGACTGAACATGGACGTGAAGAAACTTTTCAATCAACGCTCTAAACTTTTCAATAAAATTATAAATTCTATCTTGCACTGTTCGAGGAATGACATCTTGAAGGATTGAATACATTTGCATACATTTGAGGCACTAACGGAAACACTGTCAGCAAAATCAAGTCTGAATATGGACATGGACACGAAAACACTCTTCAGTCAACGCTCTGAACTTGTCAATAGAATTTTAAAATGTATCTATGGCGCTATTTGAAGAATTTAATCTCAAATGATTGAATAAACGTGAATAAATTTGAAGCACGATACTGATTGAGCAAAATGGCGTCAAACGTTCCTCGGAGAATCTTAAAAAATGCAAAATGATCGGCATTTGAATCTATACCATTCTCAGACTGCGAAAATCTCACTTTAACCAAAACTGCATCAATGGTTTTTTCAAGTGATTTTTTTACTGCCAAAGTTTTATATCTTGAGCTAAATGGCAGAAAGCTACTCGTTACTTTTTCATCCTGCCGTGAGCAGGACAAAGTTTCATCTATCTCCCCCGGTTTTTCATTCTCCACGCAGAAGATTAAAAAAGAACTGTCGAGAAATAAAAGGAAAGAAATATAAGGACTTCTGCGACACGAGAACGTCGCTAAAAAAAATAGAGCATATATAATACATTCACCATGTACCCTTCTTGATTCTTACCAAATATGCGTACAATGTCTTTGTCGCCTTAATGACAGCGTAAAGCTTGATCACGTACACATTGTGTTTATAAGGCGTACGCTGCCGCTACTGCACGACGAGGCCTGCATTTAAGGAGGAGGATGAAGCAAAAGAGACCTTTTCTCCGGACTATTTATTCCGCCCGCGGTTTTTTCCATACATTACTTCTTTCCGACGTTTTCTTCAGTGAATGGGCATTATCTTTTCCAGTCATCCGACAAAATGTCTCTATGAATTTTATGACAAGGGATTATACTAAAAGCGTGGCGTCAAGATTCGACGGCCTTCCCATCATGAGAAAATCCTGCTCAATCGTATTTCAGTCGCAGATTCCTTTTATATACTGATGTACTCGTACAGACACTTCGAATACTCGAATAATTTCAGAAAAAAGTTGTTTGGGTGGATGGGTGAATCATTTCACCGATTTGCCATCGAAGTGAAGCGGTTTGTTCTAAAATACTGCAGCTGTAAATAGCTGAAAAATTCAGTTCAATTTCTGGGAAATTAAGTGAATTGCAATCGGGGCGAAAAGTACAAAAACGTTGATCTAATTTTTCGTAGAATAAAAAGGAATAAAATGTGAACAAAAGATGATCCAATATTCTCTTTTTTCGATAACTGAGTGTATCAGTCCTCGCGAAATGTCGCATTTTTTAAAAGACTGGGCTTGCTAAATTGTTATTTTTACAATTTGAAAATACTTTTATTCGGTCTTGTTATTTTTATTCGAAGTCGGATATGGGTTCCGATCAAACACCACCCCAAATTTTAATTCACATCCAATATTCCCAAGTCCGCAGACTAGACATTTTTGTCCTATCCGATTTCAGCATTTTAATAACGTCGTTGATGTCTTGTCCGAAAACAAAAAAATTTTTCTTTGTTTTTTTGGTGCCACCTTCTATGTATCGAAGCTATAAACCGGGAACATAACAGGAGCCGA